CCTGGTTCTGCTCACTTCACTCAGCATCTGTTCATGCAAGTCTTTCCAGGTTTTTCTGAAATCTTCCTGCTCGTCATTTCTTATAGCACAATAGTATTCCATTACATTCACATACCACAACTTGTTCAGCCATTCCCTAATTGATGGGCATCCTCTCAATTTCCAATTCTTTGAGAGGCCATTTATTCTAACTCATTCATTTTTCAGGGGAAGAAATCGTGGCCCAAAAAGACTAAGTAATTTGTTTGAGGTCACACAAATTGGTAGTTAAGTAGCAGAACCAAGGTTTGAACCCTGGTCTTCCAGTTCCATATCCAGCATTCTCCTCCACTGTACCAACAGGAGCGTCCACATTTGTCATAAACCTTAGTAGGTGATCCAAGGGTGGGCATCATCCCATTAGCCTCTAAACCCATGCTTCCTGAATTGTATCACTGAGATTGAAGGTCACCACTTCCAAGGGTTTACTGCTTGGTTTTTTATCTTTTACTTTGTATCCTCTGTGTTCACAGACTGCTGACTGCTTACCTGGCTTCTCCCCTTGAGCTCTGTCTTGATTTCTTCTGTGCACTCCTGAGGTCTTGTCTGCTTTTATGCTTGACCTCTCACTTTCAATACCAGTTCGACCTTAGCTCTTTAGGCCCTGGCTTCCCACCCACTCTAAAATCTGTGACCATCCACAGTCCCAGTGAGACAACAAACTCCTCTTGTCAACCTGGATAGTGGAAAAATAGGAAGAGGGACCAGCACTCTAGTGGTTAGATCTGGGATCAGAAATCAAGTCACCAAGAAGATGGGAGTCCCTCCTTCACTCTCCAAGGCCCTCCCTGGAGGAGTCCCTTCCCCGCCTCTAAGATTTAGAGTCTAAGATCAAGCGCCATTCTCCGTCCCTGGCTACTTTCTCAGAGCTGCAAAGTGATGGCAGATCAAGTCAGGCTGGGTAAGGTGGACACTTTCACAGCTTCTAATCTTACCGACAAAGTCTGAGAATAAATCCAACTCTAGTCACCGGTATGTATCATGGGAAACCTTGTGATTCTGATATGCACTAATGCAGCTTAGAATTGTGGGGGCTTACTGACTCTCCACCTGATAATCTCCTCAAGTCTCTACAGGAATGCGGCAGTGTCAGGAGGCAGGGGGACTGCCTAATCCCATTCCTCCCAGGAGAAATTTACAAACAGAGTGGTGGTGGGGGGGAGTGATGGGAATGGGGGCAATGTCTTTTTATTTTTCTCCTGGTGCTAAATCTTCCCCTCTTAGTGCTGAAATTTCCCAGATTCCCCATGGGAATCCATCCCAAAGTTGGAGTGTGTATGAGAAAACAACAGAGATTAGACATCTGGGTCCATCCACCCCCCACCCCCAGCCCCGACTCCTGGTCACCTCTTACCTTTGCAGACTGAATCAGCAGATCCCATCATTTGGAAGTTGAACAGAACTGATAGTGACAAGGTCCTTTCCCTATAAGCCTAGGTATAAGGGCCAAGCCTGTAGAGTCAGAGGAGTTGAGTTCAAATCACACCTCTGATACTTACTCTTGGGCAAGTCGATCAAATTTCCCTGTACCTCAGTTTCCTCAGCTGCAAAATGAGTAGATGAGAAGCCCAGAGATTGGGCTCTTCCAGCTGTAGATCTAAGAGCCTATGACTGCTCAAAGGGACCTTTAAGTCCATTCAGTTCAGCCATTTTATGTATATGTGTGTGTCTGTATACACATAGAAAGAGAAAGAAAGAGAGAAGGAGAAGCAGTGTTTTTTTATTATTGTTGTTGTTTTGGAGGCAATTGGGATTAAGTGACTTGCTCAGGGTCACACAGCTAGTAAGTGTCAAGTGTCTGGTCTGAGACGAATTTGAATTCAGGTCCTCCTCACTCCAGGGCTGGTGCTCTATCCACTGTGCCACCTAGCTACCCCAGAAGAGAGACAGTGTTGAAGGAAGAGTGGACGGTGTGCTCGGCTCCCCGACTGTGTGACCCTGGGCAGCTTTCTAAGAAGTTAACACTCAACACTGGGAGAGGAGATTTCCTCACTGGGAGCTCCTTATGTCAATGAAGTCACAGGTCTGGACAAAACATCAGCGACCGATTGAAGCTTAGGGTTATTTTTAAGGTTCAGCACTCTGCAGAAGCAGAATGATTGCAGAAGTCATGGTGTTCCTATTTTGTTCGTAGTTAGGTATTTTTTTAATCTAAAAATAAGTTTATTAGCATGATTAAAAATATTTTCTGAAGAATTATACTCAGAGAGAAAGTAACTTCTTATCATGGAAGAGTATCAGTTGTAGCACGATAAACAATGTTTGGAACTGAATGGACAGCTTTATTGCCAATCTTCATTTGATTAAGAACAAACCATATGTTGGTTGTATATAATTGTGACTGTTGCTTTGCCTTGGATTGAGTCCCTAGGTCATCATGTTTGGATTGTGGGCTGCATTGTTGGAGTTAAAAATTGGTTTAAAAACAACAACAACAACAAAAACGAAACAAAAACCCAAAGCAAACAAACAAAAAAAAAGAAAACCAAAACAACAAAACCCCTAAAATGAAGTCTTCTCTCTTTACATTTCTCATCTCCTAATAACCCTTCCTCAATAGGACCTTCTCTTAAAGGAGATAAGCAAAACAAACCTCCCATTTCCCCTCTGTGACTGGAGGGCAGGGCCATGGGCTCCAAGGTTTCTGTTTAAGGAAGGGGCTCAGTGCTGTCTTCTCCCTGCTTCCCACCAGGTATCCTATCTTGCTTTTGGACATCTTTGGTCCTTTCCATCACACCTTCCTTCGCTAGAAAACTCATCATTATATTGAACCTTCCTGGTCTTCACTCACATGTCGTCAGTGTCCTCTGCCCTCAAACTGGACCCTCTGACAGGAGGGCAGAGCCAGGGTCTCCAGGGCCTGTATTTAAGGAGGGGGCTCAGCACAGGCCTCTCTCCATTTCCCATCAGCTCTACTGTTTTTGGATTTCTCTGGGATCCTCCACTCCCATAGGGTGCTTTCTCCCCTCTCCCAAGCTTTTCAGTTTCCTTGGGTTGTCTATTTTCTCCCATCAGATTATTAGCTCCTTGACGGCAGTGCATGTTTTTGTTTTTATTTGTACTTATATTACCGGCCTGTAGTGGAATGCCTGGCATATAGTAGGTACTTAATAAATGTTTATTAATTGATTTGCTGAATGCTCAGAGTTCCCCTAGAAAGTGATGGAAAGGTTGGGAGGAGGGGACTGGCCCAGAAGCAAGAGGACCAGAAGTTTTGTTCTTACTTTCTCCAATCAAAACAGTCCCAGGCCACAGGGCAGGAGTTCAAAGCTCAGAGCTTTCCTGGAGATGTGTTCCAATATTGGTCCTCTGGATTTTAGATTGCTCCTCATATTGATTTGAATTTGGATTTCTCTTAAAGTTGGTTTCCTTTAAAGGTAAGGGAATAATAATAATAACAACAAGGATTGTGACCAGTGTGTATTGAGGCTGGTCTGAAGAGCACTTGGGACCTCTTATAGGCATTTAGGAGACCAGAAAATCAGATCAGCATAGCCAGAGGCTACCTGGATGGTGTGCCAAGAAAAGCTCAGGTTAAGCCTTTCTTTGCATCCCTACCCACCCACCCTTCAGGCCAATCAAGTCTTGACTTTGTTGACTTTTAAGGAAAATGTAGCCTAGGAGGAAGAGGGAAAACCCTGGTGGATAATGGTCCCCTCACACAGGTCCACACACTTATTGCTACCCTTATGACCTTGGCCCAAGTCACTTTCACTTTCTGAGCCTCATTTTCCTAATCTGTAAAATGGTGAGGTGAACTATGTAATTTCTAAGATCCCTTCCAGCTAGGACTGGACATCCTATGCTCCTTTGAAAGCAGGGTTCATTTTCTTCTAGGAATTCCTTGTTTTAAGTTCTAGATGGAATCCCTTGATAGCCCAGCCTACTGAATCATCCCAGCCTTCCGGGTTAAACCCCCCCCCCCCCCCCGCCCCGTCACTTCTGACCTCTCTCAACACTTGTTCCAGGTACTTCTCAATTCTCTGCATTAGGATGACCAGTATCTCCACAGTTATTGATCCCTTACCCTGGCCCTAGTGGTACCAAGGCTATTCCTAAATCCACAAGTGTTTGGGAGAGGGAAAGGACTTGTTTTACCATGTTACACGGATGTGAATCCCTGGGGACCTCACTTTGTGATTTGTCCCAAATAGGTGAGCACTTTGTCCTTCTGATGACAGGCAGTGGAAACAGGGAGTTTATCTTTGGTGCCAAAGAGATTTAATTTCTTTTTTGTTGTTGTTATTTGTTTTGTTTTGTTTGCTAGGCGATAGGATTAAGCGACTTGCCCAGGGTCACACAGCTAGTAAGTGTCAAGTGTCTGAGGCTGGATTTGAACTCAGGTCCTCCTGACTCCAGGGCCAGTGCTCTATCCACTGTGCCACCTAGCTGCCCCCTAAGGAGATCTAATTTCAAGACATTATGTGACTCTGGATAGGTCACTTCTCAGTGACTCAGGTAACTCTAATACTCTTATAGACAGCTGCTGATTTGTATGAGGGATTCCCTACATGAATGAAATCACAGATCTTGAATCCCCACCCTGCCGCACGCCCCCCCCCCCAAAAAAAAGAAAAAGGAAAAAATGAGCGCATTGACCCTAACTGGGACATGTTATATGCAGCTCCCTCTTCACATCCCACAGGAACAATCGGCAGTGAATAGAGATCCAGGTTTCTAAAGCATCGTAGTCACCTTACACCAAATTCCAATTCTCACCAAACTTAGTGCTCAGGTCTGGCCATTACTTTGCAAGAGAGACCTGGTGATGCCAGAGAAGACCCAGAGAAAAGCAACCAAGATGATGAAAGGCTGGAGTGGGCAAGGGTAGCTCATAGGAGTGGAGATTAGAACAACGAAGGATGTTTTCTTCTGGATAGGAGAAGGTTGAAAGCAGGTAGCCTAGAAAGCCACAATGAGGTTTTAGCATCCCTGACTGCTGCGTGGAATCAGTCTGTGGGATGGCTGCGTGGAATCCTGCTGCTGCGCAGGTGGTCAGGGAGAGTCAGGTATTTCAGACTCCTCTGCCCCAGCCCTGAGGAGAGCGAATTCTGTGCACAGGCTAATGTCAAGCTTCCCAACTCCTACCAGCAAGAAAAGAGGTTGAAACAGAACAAAATGAATACCAAAAGGCTATTGATTGTGACTTATTTATAAATACCAATCTTAGTCAAGTAAAAGCAGTCTCCTAAGGCTCTTCTTCCATACTGGTACCCCATTTCCAAACTGCTTTATTTCTGTTACCTTAGTTTGCAGCTATCTTTTACTAGAGAGACACCATGGCATAGTGAATAGGGCACTGTGCTTGGAGTTATTAGAATCTGGGTTCAAATCCTACCTCAGAAATGTACCATCGGCAGAGACCAGAGAGAAGCAGCAGGAGGAGGAGGGAAGAAGGAAGGGAGAAGGAGAGTTCAAAGGGAGGCGGGATCGGCTCCAGGGTGCAAGACGTGTCACTGTTGACTATTACTGGATTGGTTTTGAATAGGCTGGCATAATAGTATCTGAAGGCTTTCTGGTATATCATTGCAAAGGAAGCATTTTATCTTTGGTTGCTGGTCTTTTCTTTGGCTTATTGGCGGGTTATGGATCTTACCATATCTCCTGTGACCCCCGAGATGTCAAAATGTCACTATTCACTACCTTCTTTCTAGCCACTATCATGGGCATAAGGTTCAAGAGATCCAAGAAAGTAATGCCAGCAGGGATTGTGGCTGGCCTAAGCCTCTTGAGGATTTTGAGACTCGTCTTAATGCTCATATATAAGAATCCCCAGATACCAAGGACTTAATTCCCATCCTTCCTCCACAGCAGACTAAATACGTTCTTTGTACTTGAAAGATAAATTTCAACAAGAAATATCAAGCATCTGTAAGGAAAAAGATAACAGACTGACACTTCTCATGTTAGCATTAGTTTGCAAACTTTTTTTTTAACCAAAAAGGTTTTCAGTTGTTTCCTAGTTTATAATCATTGTTTCCTAAAGAGTACTTAATGAATCATGTCTCATTGATCCTCATTTCCCCTCCTTTTATTTATCACTATAGAAGGTGTAAAGTCATTGTCCACCGTTATAAATTTTAAAAGTCTTTTGTATTTGTTTATTGAAAACTCCAAACCCTGAGTCACCAAACAAAAGTTTACATGGCAATAAAACTTGTCAGTTAATAGGATGCCTTATGTATGGTTTGACTAAAATACTGATTGTCCTAGTCTCTGTCTTACAAGCTGCACAGGAATTACGTGTGTCCTGAATTTTAAACTTCATTCTGCCCTCTGCAGACACTGAATATAGGAGCAGAGTGTAACTAGTATTCAAATAAAAGTTCTTCTATTAAAAAAAAACAACAAGAAAAAAGAAATGTACCATCTGTGTGACCCTGGGCAAGTCCCTTGAATTCTCTATGCCTCTGTATTCTTATCTGTAAAATGAAGGGGAAAGGACCCCTGATGGCTCCTAATGCTGTCTGCTAACCCTCCTCCCCTCCACAGGCCCCCTCAAGGTGAAAGGCCCCCTAAGGTTTAGTGGAGCAGAGGCCCACCCAGGTGGTCAGGGTTTGATTCCAGCTTTAAATCTATGATCCTACAGCTCGTTACTTGCCCTCACTCTCACCCTTACCCTAACCAATCATCTGCCGCATCTTTTTATTTCCATCTCTGCGATGTTTTTCTTAGTCCAAGTGACCACCACCTTAGTTCAGTTCCTTATCACTTTTCTTCTTTAATTATTGCAAGATTGTTTGTTTCCTTCCTTCTTTCCTTCCTTCCTTCCTTCCTTCCTTTCTTTCTTTCTTTCTTTCTTTCTTTCTTTCTTTCTTTCTTTCTT